GCGAAGAGAGTAACCGAGTGCGTACGAAACATCTCCTATGTAGGTACTAACGCAATTTTGATTACTCACTGTTTCGCGAACATGAAATTCAATCCAGTCCTGAAAAGTTCTACTTCGGAAGTAAAATAGTAACAAATTAAAAAAGTATTTTGTTTAAATTTATTAAGATTATTTTCGTTTTTATTATCAGAAAATTATTTTATTCCGGTATTTTAATCGAGAAATTGATATAAGAATTATTATATAGTTACGAAATACGTACATATTCGTGGTAATTCATGATGTTACGTGTAAAACTTTTACGAAGCGTATTCTGGATATACGTGCGCCTATTAAATGCAGCCACGTATACACCATGTATAGAATGAGCGAGTTTACATCACGCGTTTTCTGCGCACGCATTCCCGCGCCTGTCATTAACTTGCGTGCAACATTACGTATATTGCTCTCAAAAAATGTGTGCGTATTCCTTCCTTGTATGGTAAACTCGCTCAGGATGACTTGAAGAAGAAAGCCATGCTGAACGAGTTTACCAAAAGCCGAAACGTTCGATGGGAAATCAATTTATGTGGAATGTACAAGTAAATATATTTCGAACAAATATTTTTATGCCAACAACTGCAGTGTTCGCTCTCATTTGCCTTTCCTTTCATTAATACTTATTTTGAATATTGAGAGCTCAAGAAATTACCATTTTGTTATTTTTAAAAATGTCTATCATAATAATATACACTGTTAAAAATTTCACGAAATTTAATAACTTTTAAGTTACACCATTTAAATTTAATTTCATGACATTAAATTTAATGTATTTATAATGAAAAGTATATTTGTGTATATGTACATGAAATTTAATGTATTTTTCATGAAAATTTATAAAATTTAATGTACACATTCATTACATTTAAGTAACTATTGTAACTTAATTTTCAATTAAATCATTCATTACTTTTAATTTCGTTTATTATTAATTATAACCACGAGCTTTATTTACATGTAAAGAAAGCTCGTGGTTATCATTTCTAACAGTAGTTATATAGTAATTATGTAATAATATAGTTGTTGGAATTAGAAACATTGTACATTAAATTTAAAAAAAAATGGGATAAGTAGAACAAATATAAAAAAATAATTGTAAGAAAAATGATACCGAATCGATACAAGTACTAACTGCAACATTCAGCACAGACAATTATATATCTATTAAACAATAATAGAATTCTTTCAATTCAAATAACTAGACATATAAGGTGTAAATAATTTTATATTTTGTCTACTGCAGTAAATTTACGCTGAGACATGTTCAATCTTTTATATTTATAGGATTCTTAATTAAAAAAGGTTTTACTATACGAGTATGTTATGGAATAATTCATAAATTCATTAGTATTAAACAAGACATACCATAATAAAATAGTAGCAACAGTTCATTTTTTGGGATTTTATTACTTGTTTTATTTACTTAATAAAAAGCACAAGATTACTTCTCTGTCTTTTTCGTCTTTGCAGAAGCCTGCTGTGCTTTCATAACCTTATAGACGATCTTTTGTTCTTCGATTAAAAACGCACGCACAATCCTGAAAATCAGTGGAATTTGTTATAAATATTATATAAAATGTAAAACTTATTATAGGTTTATTTATTAAAGTAATGATTAATTCTGCTTTGAAAACAAATAACTGCTCTATCTAGTGTATCAGTATTTAAAATATAAATATTATAGGATGCTTTTATTAAATGTGTAACATATAGTTGATGTTTATTGAACAAATATTTAAAATATGAACAATTTAAAATGTTAAATACGTACCTTTCTTTTACACATTTGTGACAAAGAACTCCACCGTACACTCGCTTGACTGTTTTCTTACGTCTGCACATACGTGAACGCTCCATTGGTCTTGCAGGTTGGATACCCCTCAACTTGTCCTTACATTGTCCGCATCTTGGGATCTTTTTAGGTTTTTTCAGATATTGGTAAACTAATTTACCACCCGGCGTACGTACGCTATAAACAAAATTCATCTTAGTTAGTTCTTAATAATAATAACTCGCAAAATTTGCCAAGAAAAATTCACTTTAATATGACACTTTAATATGACATTCTAAATACTAGAATACAGATTAAATATTTGCAGTAATAATAGTTAAATAAATGTTGATAAAAGCAACAATTTAAGATTAATGTCACTGTGTGTAATACGTGTGAATTTTAAGAAATTTAAAGCAAGTGATCAAAACATAACCTCAAACTTTTAACAATATACCGCGATAAATATTGTCATTAACAAAATAAAATTCCTTTGCGAATAAAAGTTAATGAATTTTATCTGACATTATCATTTATTACTATTTGTGTAGATACTTACACACGCCTTCTGTTGCTTTTTGTGTTGTACGACAAGCGTCGCCGATAGGTTAGTCGCTGTACCATCTTGGTTCTGCAACGTTAATTACTTTGTTATTAAAAAAAATTGAATTATATAGAATTGTAAAGCATAACCGATCACCACAGATCTCTACGGAAGTCATATGACATTAATGCATCTTACGATTGATACACGCAACGTGGATATTATAAAATCGTATCAAAAATGCCACGAACCTTATCCGGATCCAAACGGAAGAGGAAACGGCATACTCCGAGAAGAGACGCTTTTACGCACGCATGGCAAATTATCTGGTGCTGCCATCTGTCTACAAAAATACGAGTTAATAATAATAATTAAGAATACTTACGATTGATATTCATTTATCGATAATAGAAAATTTTTATTAAAAATAAATAAATAAATAAAAATGAATAATTTTTTAAAAATATATTGTTATCATTCATTTTTTCTAAGTAAGTAATAATTAGAAAGATTTATGTGTGTGTATATAT